CTCCGCGGGCCGCCGCGGAGCCGTGAGCGGGCGCTTTCCGCCGTGCCGCTTGGCCTTGACGGGTGAAGCGGTGTCATTAACGCCAGAGCTGGTGGAAAAACGAAACCTTCCCCAGAAGCCCCGCGCGTCCCGGGAGTCGTGCCGTTCCTCTGGGGAAGAGATTAAGCTGGCAGGACTAATGAAAAGAAAACAATTCGACTCTGATCTGTCTGTTCTGTTTGTTTGTTGTGGTTTCTTTTTCTTCCCTTCTTCACTGTCTTTAGATCACCCAGAGGTACAAGAAGAAATTTACAGGAAGGACGATAGGCTCCTCGCCTTGTTAAAAGATGTTTATGTCGAGTCCAGAGATCCACCTGTGCGGGTGAGTATGTCTCTGTAGGAGGCATACCAGCATCAGCTTTGTCGTTTCAAACACGGCACAAATTCTATATGAAGAAAAATGCTCTGTTAGCACCTAAAAGTATCTTTTTATAGATAAAAATAATGTTTTCGTTACTCTCATATATCAGTAGCACTGACTGAATTTGACCCTGGGTTTTGAACCTGTGACATATTGTAATTATAAACCTTTTAAATGCTTACGCAGTCTTCCTTTTTAACATCATGTTGCTCTTTGTTTTTCACCAAAATTCCCGCTTCTGTTTCCTCTAAGGCAGAAGAACAGTTGGCCAACCTCTTGCAAAGATGCAGGAGTTTGCCAGAGATCTCTTGTGTTGTTGTTAGAAGAAAAGAGATTGGGACTACTGTGGGAGCATGGATGTGGTAGAGGACAAAGGCATTAACGTTTTAGTGGAGTCTTTAACTACTGATGTTAATGTCATACTGTGCAGAGACCTTTCCTTATGCGGCTGAGGGAGTGCCTTAGTTTTTTTTTTTTCTGCATGACCTTCTGGATTGTTTGGTTATCAGTTTCCTCATTGCCAACAGCTGCAGTCTTTGACTTCAAAGGTAAAGCATGCCCCTTTCAGTAAAATGCAGCCTGGGGTCCAGTCTTCTCTTTTCCGCCATGTTACATTATGGCTTGTGCGTTTTACCTGTTGCATTATTGGACCACTTTATTCAGTAATAAAAATTTTCTAATAATCTAGCAAGAAAATTCCTAAGTCGCTCCAACTTGCCACTTTCACAGTATCTTCTATTGAAGACTGAAGGTATTTAAAAATGCAAACAGATTTCTGCAGTGTCTCTCTGAAGTTTCCAAGTAATCTCTATCCTTAATTTTCATAATAGAGGCTAGGACTCTAATCTGGAAGTGCTGAAGGTCTAATTTCAATATATTTCACTATTCACTTGTAAGCCTGTCAAGAGAAACTTGAGAAAAAGACAAAAGTGGAACAAATCTTAGTGCTTGATTCCATGCCTGCTCTGAGTTTGCTACCATGTAAGACTTGCTCTTGTGGTGTGTCTACTTGTAGTTGCTAGGAGGAGCATGATTAATATGTTAGCATGGTGGCTTGCAGGCAAAACTTCATCCCAAACTTCATCCAAAAGCTTCCTTCCTTGCCTGATGTTATTCTGAATACTTTGTGCATCGTGTATGTATACATACTTATATGTGTATTTGGAACATCTGTCTGTGATAAATGGAAAAGCACCAACTCTTAAGTCCTGAAGCGGTAGATACCCTCAGACAGATCATTTTATTAAGACTTGAAAAATTGTTCATTATCTGAGCACCATTTTAGCACAAAGTAAAAGGAAGAAATGGAGAACTGGTAGCATCATCAGACATTCTCTATAGTTTGGAAACAGACATGCAGTTATAAGTGCTGTAGCATCCACATCAGTTTTCTCAGGTTGTGAGTTAATACAGAGTGTCTGTGGGCTAATCAGTGGCTGTGGACTCTGATAACTTTAAAAGTACTTTTTCTTAAATTTAAGAAAGGTTTTCATTGTGTCTTTTTTTGCAGTGTCATTCACTGGTTAAATCTTAATAAAAGGCAATACAGGGAAGGCACAGCTGTTTTGGAAATTACTTGGAAATTTGAAGGGACTTGGAAGAAGAGACTTCACGTGTCTGAGCACTGCCCATTAGTAATGGGACTTAAACTCCATACGACGCTGCAAAATAGTTTCTTTTTGTCCAGAAAAGCTTATTCTCTAGATAGAGCAAAAGACGGTATATCTTTTAGTTGCAAAACTAAAATCTGAAAATGAAAGGAAGGGGAGAGAGACTATATGAAAAAGATTCCAGTGGTATCAGAAGAAGGATACCAATTTGTACTTTTTTTTTTTTTCCCCTTGCCATGAATCAGTACCAAAGATTAGGTTATCTGCATTTCTGTTTGACTACCAAAATGTGTAGTTTGCCTTGTATGAAGGGCTGCTGAGTCTGCGGAACACTTAAGAATTCAGTGGATGGTACCTTTTCAGAATTTGTGTGGGGGTTGACCTCGTGTGTAGAATGGCTGTGGAAGAACTGACAATTTTTGTGATATCAAGAAGCAAGGCTGGGTAAGCATGATTACTTTTTTTTAATGCTGTGAAAATGGTGAAAGCTAGCAGGAAATGCCATATTTAGGAAAACAGCTCGGCTTCTACAGTATGCATAGGAAACAGAACTGCTGTTAACCTCTTTTTGTTTTCCTTCCCACAATTAGGTAAAAGATGGAGGTGGTGAACATCTTCCATGTAAACAGGAGGAAAAGAGACTTACAAAACTAGGCCACTTGGGAGATCTAGATGTTAAGAAAGTTCCCAAAGGCAAAATTTCCATTGTGGAGGCTCTAATGCTTCTTAATAATCACAAACTTCATCCTCAAATATGGACTGCAGAGAAGATAGCAGTGGAATACAGCCTGGAACTGAAAGACGTCAACTCTCTTCTGGAATTCTTCATTCCTTTCACTGTGCAGGAATTTCCTAAAGAAACCAAAAAAGCTATAAAGCCAACATAAAAATAATTACCAAAACCTTGTGTGATCTCACTCGTGTCTTAATTTTACTCTTGAGTATATTCAGTGTCTGAAAAGAGTTGGTAATATGTCATCCAACAAGGCTGCTTCTTTATACCAGTAAGATGTATTCAAGCAATTCCATTCTATACTGGATAGCTTCAGTTAAATACAGCAATTGTAGGATACAGTTTGTAAATCAGAATGTAGCTAATAAGTCGTATGAGAGCATGTCACACAGTTCTGATTATCCCATCCATATGTTACGGGTTCGGTTAAAACACCAGTTCTAGTGAGAACTTTACCTTAACAGATTGCCTTTCTTAGCAGAGACTTCCTGGCCTTCAGCTAAATCAGTGCTCTGTGTGTATTAGCTCTGTAATTTCATGTTACAGTGTTCTTTCAAGGACTTGCTGTCAAGGTGTGTGTATATACGAACAGCTGTATTTCTTTTATATGAGAATGGAATAGTATTTATACTTTGTTAAGAAGGTTAACCACAAGATCATTTGGGAAATTCAGCTGTGTCAAACTTAAAATAAAAAGAAGGTGAATAGCAAGAAGGCCTCTTTCTGATGCTGGAACAGTAATGACTGATGTGTAGCTCCTCTTCCACTCTATTCTGATTTAGCTTAAACACCTGCACTTCCCCAGCTACTGTCTGTCAGTCAGTGAATTTGTAAGGAGTGATGATCTTCTAACATCAGTCTCTTGGCAGCAGTCTATGGCACCTACTGTATGAGAAATAATGGTTCATACTCTAATTAATAGGTAGGTATGAAATGCAATTGTATCTACTAATTGGACCCACTAGTAGGTCTTCTGTAAATGTCTGCCTGCTGTTACAATAGCCATTTTTCCCTGTGGAGGCCTCGTCTGACTGACCCAAATGTGGGCTAGATCAGGCCATGTTCCCTCACAATAACTTTACTGTCTGTCAGTCAGTGAATTTGTAAGGAGTGATGATCTTCTAACATCAGTCTCTTGGCAGCAGTCTATGGCACCTACTGTATGAGAAATAATGGTTCATACTCTAATTAATAGGTAGGTATGAAATGCAATTGTATCTACTAATTGGACCCACTAGTAGGTCTTCTGTAAATGTCTGCCTGCTGTTACAATAGCCATTTTTCCCTGTGGAGGCCTCGTCTGACTGACCCTAGATCAGGCCATGTTCCCTCCCAATAACTTACCCATGTGCTACCAGATGGAAGATGAACAGCATCCTTTCAGTTGTTAGTAAAGGAGGACACAAACTGTGAGGAGGTAATGGTGGATTGTAATCTTCTTGATACTGTGACTATTCAGGTCTGTGTAGGTAAGGAAGAAGTTTTGCACTGATGATTAATACTGTGGTGAAAACTGGTTCATGTTTTCCATATAAGCTGTGGAGGGGCAGGAGGGCACAGTCAGAACTGATACTTAAAAAGGCATTATGATTGCCTTCATTCAAAAGAAACAAAGGACAAAACTTAATTTTATGCAACACTAATGTTCCCAGTGCCCCTCACCAAAGAAGTTGAATTTAAGAGGCTGGAAGTCAGTACCAGGCCTATAATGTAACTTTCTTTTTAAGAACTTTCCTGCCATGTCTTAGATTTCAGACTAATGTCTTACCAAGAAGATGATGGTCAGCTTTGCTATTTCACAGCAAGATTCTTTCCACTCCTCTCTCTGAGATGGAACTGGGTATTTACAGTACAGTTTGCCGGAGTGTGTTCAAGGTTTTGCATAATTTCATTTATGAAGTACATAATGCTGTACCTTAGTGGAAGATGACACCTAAGTGCATTGTATAAAAATTTGGAATTGTTAGTCTTTGGATGTGTGGACTGGGGATAGGCTTGTCATTCCTCCTGTAATGTAACGGGGACAGACCTGCACTCTGAAACTAGTGCATCTGAGAATCTTACATTAAGATTCTTTTGTTTTCCACAGAATGATCTGATTTATAGAATGTTGTAACAGAAATACTTTACTGTTTGAGTACTGTTCATCCTAATGTAATATTTAGGGTAATATTCAGAAAACGGCTGTGGAATGCATTTGGTACAGATACTGGCATTATGATTGGAGATGTTGTGATTTCCTTATTTTAAAATGAATCTTTTGATTAGGTATTGGAGTTGATTAAAAACTCACTACAGTCAGCACCAGACAACAGCTTAGCCGTGCCCCTTGACTAACTTGGTATTTATCTTGGCTGCTTTTGTCTGCCTTTGCGAACTGTCTTGTGATGTGGCTACACCACTACAGTACCTGTTTCATGCAGAAAGTCCCTGGAGGCATTATGGTATACTACTGCTTTACTTACGCGCTTCAGCAGGCACATGCTTTGGGATGTGTGGTGCTCATCATGTTCAGTGCGCCAGCCATACCTTCAGGACAAAATCTTGTCCATGAATGAGATGATTGCAAAGCTATCCCCACTTTCTCTGGAGCCAGGGTCTCATTCTCAGAATATGTTGTCCACGGTGGGGAAGCAGGCAGGTCCCACAGCACAGAAGTGGGCCAGGGACCCATATCCCTGGAAGCAGGTGAACTCCCGGTGGCCCAGAAGGCTCCTCTGGAGCAGGGAACTTCTCCGGCACAGTGCGTTCACTTCAGCAAAAGTAGACGCAATGCAGTTTGCTGGCCGCACACAGATTCTTCTGCTGGTCACCTGCCCCACCTGCTGGGCAATGTCAAGCCAGCATGATGAAGGCATTGCTGATGGTATGGGATCATGTAAAATCTGTATCTTTATCTGTGCAAATTCACCATAGTCGGAATGTTTATCTTTCACTGTCTCTTCAGACATGGAGTGTTTTACTTGCCCAAAGCTCACAGGAAGATCCAGGAGCATGGATCTTTTTGCTCTGGTGGGAAAGCCTGTCCCTGATCAAACACTCTGAATGCTACCGTCTTGCCCTGTGTAGGCTACTGGCCACAGCCAGCTGCAGGTCCTTGGCAGGTGTGTGCTCAAGCTGTGTTCAAGTGAGTATATGTTTGAAGATAACGCTGTCTTTAGGGTTGGTGTCTGGGACAACACTATTCTCACTTGTGTCTTTTCTAGAACTGCTTACTTCCTTTCTTCCAGTTTCAAGGGACTCTTTACTTATCAGTTATCTTGCCAGCTTACCAGTTTCTGGTTTTGATGCAGTTTCTAATCGGAAGAATAATGATATTTTCTTTACACTTTTAACCTGGTTTTCTCTGTGTCCCTTTCTGTCTATATCCCTTTCCTGTAGCTGTTTGGCTGTTGGCTTAACGGAAAGGTACGCTTCAAAGCAACTGTTTTGAAGAGGTAATTAAAGGGAATTTGTGGGCACCTGCAATTCAGTTTTCTGGTACTCACATGTGGAGAATTTTTCATGTTTCATTGCCATGCATGCAGTGCACCAAATTTAGCTCAGATGGTTTTGGCCACCATATAGAATCATTACATTTGGTAGGGAACAACCTACCTCACTCAAACTGCTTTGTTCTTGCCAAATTAATGTAAAATGTGTAGCAAGTATAAGCTTTGGGAGCCTGTAAGGGATTTGTTTCATTTCTAGTGTAAATGGTGCACGGTTAACAAACTTCTTTATATGTGGCATTATTACACCAGCTTTCCAAATGTCACTGAATAAAGCCAGGGCCTCCTTGGGCACTGAGACAGAGTGAGTACACAGGGCAGGCTGAGCCTCATTTGGAAATGAGGGTTACATTCCTGGTGAGACATAAAATTGAATTTCCTCAGGGGACTTCCAGCAGGTGTACTGGAATTCCTGGTTTGAATTTTTCAAAAAAATGTCTCTTTAAGGAGAGTCTAGTAACTCACCCACGTTTTCTGGGATATAGTCCTGTTCCTCCAGCCTTGTTCTGTTGTGAAGTCTATTCCCAGCCTTCTCCAGGCAGTCTGCTCTGCTATGAAAACTTTATACAGCTTTGCTCGTTGCTCTTTACTGGCTTATGTGCAAATGTTGGCTGTATTCTGCCCTTTCGGTATCAACAACCTGTTTTATTTCTGCAGAGCTCTCTTGCCTTCTAGGAATAGCACATCTGCTGAGGTAAAGATGAGAGGATTATGCACATGTTTTGTTCCGCAGAACTTACGAATAGGACAGATTTTCAAAAGGGATGTAGCTTTTCATACATCTTCAAAAGCTGCTCCTTTGGGATATGTGAAACCAAGTAATCTTGTGCTATCTCACCGTGTATTAATCGTAGCTAAGTTCTTGCAGTCTGATGCCAAGATGGCAAGATTGGAGCTGTGAGGCAGGAAAGAGTTTTAACTCTGCTTTCTGTGCAGGTTAGTCAGAGGGAACTTCAGTACACAGAGTGATCTTTCTGTAGCCTTCCAGTGCTGGGAACTTGTCTTTTAAGCTACCGCTTTTTACTCAAGGAGAAAAGAAAATGATGTTTATACGTGAGAGGTATGTACTAAACTTACAAAATGGAATATCTTATTTCTGTATTGAAAAATGGAATTAAACCTCAAGTAGTCATAAAACAGGATCAAAGTGCAAAAGTTTAAAGAGACAGCTGTCTCGCCTTGTTTCATAGGAGCACCGTGCCTTCATGTTTGAGACTGCATGAAGCTTCGCGTTTCACGGCTCTGTTTCGGAGCCCCTTTCTAAACAGGAGTTTTCTGGTTCTTATCAGGTGGTGCCAGTGTTGAACTGGCAGCAGGGGAGGCCTGACCAGTGCAGGTGAGCTTCAGGTGCAAATGGATTTTGTCACTTGAGACTGCGGCAGTTGTACGCCGACTGGCGTGCTATTAGCAATCGAAACACTCTGTCAGTGCCTGTTGTTATTAAATCCGTTTCCAGCTTTCTACAAGTCTAACAAATTCTGTAACCTTTCACGGTTCAGGTATTGCTATGTTGTTATCAGAGATAAGTGTTTTCTGCTAAAAAACCCCACCAAAACCCATGGAGTAATTTCTCTTAAAAACTTAACTTTAGTTTTCTCGATCTGCAACAATTTGGCTCCTATTTACACGAGGCGACAGCGGCGTTGGGTAACAGCAGCTGGAAGGAGTGCACTGCGGGAGCTCCTGCGGCTCCGTAGGGTGGAGCGGGGTTTGATGTGTCTGCTGGCAGAAAGAGAATTGATAAAATAAATCTGCCAAGGTGGTTCTTCTGTGACTGTTGTGCAAAAGAGGTGGGATGTTTTGGCCTCCTGAGGGGAGTAGTACTGCTGTATTACCCAGGAGAGAAGCGACTTGGGGGTAGGATAGACCCCCCCAGTCATCTCCTATAAGGATTCCTTGCACGGGAATGGAAACCACATGGTGTC